TTTTTTCTTTTGGTCTTTTTGAGACAGGGTCTCCCTGTAGCCCCAGTTGTCCTGGAACTCACTATGTAGACCAGGCTGGCCTTGAGCTCACAGAGATCAGCCTACTTCTGCCTCCCGAGTGCTGGGATTAAAGGCGTGAGCCACCACGCGCGGCCCTCCCCTATATATTTTAAAAGATTTATTTATTATTTTTGTGTTTGCCTGTGTGGATTATTTGCACCATGTGTGTGCAGGAGCCCACAGGTGCCAGAAGAGAGCATCAAATCTACTAGAACTGGAGTTACAAGTGGTCATACTATGAGCTGCCATGTGGGGGCTGGCAACCAAGGTCCTCTGTAACAGCAGTATGTACATTTAACTGCAAAAGCCTTCTCTCCAGCCCCCAGCCATGTATTTTAAAGGAAAAAAAAATTACTGTTCCTTATATCCCAAGCAACTTCCTTTTGATTATTTGGATATTATCTACCCTTTAGTAAAGCATGAAATTAAAGAAACTGTGATAAAACTCTGTGTATCCAAAGCATAATTTTGTCTAGGGAATTGTCCTATAGGAAGTAGATCAACTCTGGATTATGTTCGCCTACAGGCAATCCAGAAAATAGGTTTTGAAGTCAAATGTGCAACTTCCGATCTATTAAAAAAATCCAACCTGGGAAATAGTCCTGAGGAAACAGATGCACATAACCTGGCAAAAATCAGCTGATCAAAAACAGGCTCAAATTTTAAAAAAATAGACCCAGGGACTGAGGCTGTAGCCAAGTGGTAGAGGCATGCCTAGCATGAGAGGCCCTGGGTTCAATCCTCATCACAATGGGCAAGAGGGGGAGGGAGTTTGTTGTCTATAGTTAGAAAGCATCTTCCGTGCCCATCAACTCCCTTAAATTGCAGCAACTGCTAGTCACCAGCTGTCCAAGCAGCACGAATACTCTATCCAGACTATGTGTTCCAAATGGTGGACTGTTGAGAAGTTGACTGAATCTGAGATTCTCCCACATTTTAGCTGCACATTACATACTGAGCCATAAGATTCTGTGAGTAGGAGAACCCACGGGATAACTTTCACATGACAATCTCCAAGATGACTTCTGGTTGTCTTTATTCTTAGGAGTTTCTCTTTTTTCTGTTTTGTTTTTTTGACACAGTGTCCTGCTATTTAGCCTAAGACTGGAACTGACTAGATATAGACAAGGCTGGTCTCAAACTCAAGAGATAAGTTTGCCTCTGCCTCCTGAGTGCTGGGGATTAAAAATGTGCACCGCCAGGGCTGGCGAGATGGCTCAGCAGTTAAGAACACTGTTCTTGCAGAAGACCCAGGTTCGAATCCCAGCACCTACATGGCAGCTAACAATTGTCCGTAACTCCAGTCCCAGGGGATCAGACATCCTCTTCTGACCTCTGCGGGCATTGCATGACACAGGTGCACTTACCAACACGCAGGAATACATGCATACACATTAAATTAAAAAAATAAATATTTAAAAAATATGTGTACTGCCATACCCAACCCAACTTTTTCTGTTTCTATGGAGGTAAATAAAGTGAGCAGTTTTTCAGACTCAGGTCCATCATTAATTTAAGGTTCAACATGTGAGATTGATTGACTGACTGACTGATTGACTGACTATAGGGCCATGGATCCAGTCCAGGACTTTTATGAGTTAGGTAAGCACTGTATCACTTTACTATAGCCTTTGGGATCTTTGAAACAGGGTCTTACTATATAGCCTAGACTGGCAACAAACTTGGGATCCTTCTGTTTGTTTTTTTTAAAGCATTATTATTATTTTTTTTTAGTTATCTTTATTTTATGTGTATGCGTGTATCGTCTGCGTGTAGGTAAGTGCACTCGTGTCGTGCAATGCCTGCAGAGGTCAGAAGAGGCTATCGGATCCCCTGGGACTGGAGTTACAGACAGCTGTTAGCTGCCATGTGGATACTGGGATTCAAACACAGGTCTTCTGCAAGAACAGTCAGTGTTCTTAACCACTGAGGCATCTCTCCAGCCCCAGGGATCCTTCTGCTTTAACTTCCAAGTGGGATACAGATTGTACAACCACACATGGCTACGGTGCCTCTTTCACATTATCAAAGACGGTGCTAATATGAGACAAATATAAACTTTGAAACTATGATACTCAAGCGCCCACAGAAATGCCAACAATGCACACTGAGATGCCTGAGCAACGGCTGTGGCTCAGTGGTGAAGCAGGTGCAAGGCCCTGCATTTTATCCTTAGCATCAAACACACAAAACTGAGGTGCTTGAGTATGAAAGAACATTATATACCCTGTGCTCATATTCTGATTTCAACCCATCACATAGTTCATTACATAAGAGTGTCTGATGCCATTAAGACAAACATAAGGTTCTGGGCCTATAGCTCAATGGTAATGTGCTTGCCTAGTTCACTCAAGGCCCTGGGTCTGATCTACAGTACCATAAGAAAAATTTAGAAAGACAAATATATATGAGGTATGTTTGTTCTGCTTCAAAACAAATAAATAGAAATGTAAACAAAGAAATGTAAAAAATTAACAAAGAGGCTGCTAAGATTTGGACATTACTCAAATGAAAGCATGCCTTATATTATTAAGTATTTTATTTCTTATATTCCTAAATCAAGTGTCTATGTACAGACTACAAAAGTAGACTATGAAGCTGGGTGCGGTGGCACATGCCTTTAGTCCCAGTACTTGGGAGACAGAGGCAGGTGGATCTCTTGTGAGTTCCAGGCCAGCTGGGGCTATAGAGACCCTGTCTCAAAAACACCCCCCCCCCCAAAAAAAAAGTAGACAATGAAGCGTTCCTTCTTAATGAAAGAAAATAACACACAAAAACACACCAAAAGACATTTAGCAAC